CTACTAACTAATGGATATCCAATCAAATCAAAAAGAGAAGGTGAATTAAGAACAGTCCTTGGAAATGGAGTTGCAATCTTGAAGTTCGACAAGTCGCACGCATAGTGTGAAATAGCACATCAAATATGATAGTCAGCTTTTTTACACTTAACTTCATTATCTGTACCTTTTCTACTTCCCATTTCTACTTTTTCGCTTTTCTTCGCTTAGAGAATATGAAAAACTAAAGAACTAGCGAAAGTCCTCATCAAACTCTTTACATGCCCACCAAAACCCTGAACTTTCTGCGCAGTTGTGTGCCGCTGTGCAATTACGCGCATCAACATGCAAATTTGCCTGACTCTATCTTTGTCAGTTACTTCAACTGAACAAAAATTGAATTCTTACAACAGCTTCTATAGCTTCAATTGTATAAGCGGCTGCATAACGCCATCGTGTCGGACCATCAGCCATGTTAAATGGGGTGAAAATATGGATAGCTGCGTTGATGAATGTAAGACCTTCTTCGAGGCCTCGTGAGGATATGTCTAGGGCCTGAAAATGGAAATGTAGAACTTTTTTATATTTCTTCTCCTTGAGAGAGAGAGAGAGAGAGAGGGGGGAAGAGAGAGAGAGAGAGAGGGGAGAGAAGGCATTTTGTAATAAATTGTTCAGAAAACAATTTGGCGAGTATTTTATAAAACTTAGTTCTGAAGTACAGTATATGTACGATATAAGGTATATGATGTAGCTAGTTTCCATATTATTGACATAATCTATACTATAAGTAATGGAGAATACTATTTTGAAACCAAACCAATTTGATTTCCGATTTTATGCTTTTTGTAAACATGGTGCTCAAAAGGCCCAACTCTCAAAGTCAGTAGAAACTCATATTTTTTCTCGGAACTACCACTGCAGTGAGCATGGTCCCGAATGAAAATACCAGGGGAAGGGAGGAGAGAGAAGAGTGTGAATCAAACAAAGAATTTTTTAACACAAAAACACTTGAACATACCTGTAAAGCTTTTATATGAGCTAATGAGATGAGAAAATGAAGAAAAAGCGGCGGAATAACTTTGAATTCATAGGAGTACACCGATAAAACAATAACTAGGAAACGTGATGACACAGTAGAGAATCTCCAGATAAGCTGAAAATTGGTTGTAAAAGTTACTAAATGAACAAAAAATGGGTGTATCATTAACCTGAAGAATGCTTTCATGCGGATGCATATTGACTTTATCAGGTCGAACCATTCGTAAACTTCGATGTTGTATGGATATAGACCAACAAACACTCAATAAAGATAACATCATAGATATGAGCTGTACATAAACTAAAATGCAGCTTTTTGAAAAAAAAA